TAATTCAACCATCAGAAACTCAAAATTATATGTTATCTGAACTAAATAAATTATTTAAGTTTGTTTGACAAAAGAAAAAATGTTGTGATTACTACACTGTAAAACAAATTGTTGGTTTAACTTAAAAAAGTAAGTAACCTGGTTGCCTTAAAATTTTAAGTTGACTGAACTGGAAAAAGTGAGTTAATACAATGAAGTAGATTAATTTAACCATCAGAAACTCAAAATAATAAGTTATCTCAACTAAATAAATTATTATAAAGTTGATTTGACAAAAGAAAATATGTTGTGATAACAAATCTTGAAAATATGTTTTACAGTGTGTAGTCAAGTCAATAATATCACTGAATATTAAGAGTCCCCAACTAAGTAAGCCAGAGAGAGGAAACAGAGGCAAGGAACCCAAACTTCATCATGACAGAATGGAGGAAAAAAAAAAAAAAAAAAAAAAAACGTGAGAGAAACCAGGCTCAGTTCTCCTCTGGCCAATGAATGAACACCGTGTCAGTGTGATTCAGGCTTACAGGTCAGAAGTCAATATGGACAGATTGTGTCACGCTCAATCTTAAAACCCAGGAACTAAACTAAACAAGGTACAAGAAAATATGACCAAAATAACATTTGAATAACGGTTCACTTGTGTTTTTATAATCAACCACAAAATATGCAGTGAATTAATAATTCATATTAATTAAAGACTTTAAACTACCAAATACTCAAACTGTAGACAATAACTATGAAAATTGAAATAATCGCATAAAACATTTGCGAATAAAGTAGTGTTTCTATTCCATGTGTTTTGTGCAAAATATCAGTAATAAAAATGTAAATTGCTGCAATCGGGGAAGCCATTATGGCTCAGACCTTGAAGATAAAACATTTATGCGCATCTTGGCATTTCCATCCAGCATTTTTGAAAACGATATCCCAAAATTTGCATAAAAATAGATGGATGGAAATAGCTATTGCTCACCCTGAGATGTTAATCATTTTGCACTGGTCTGATGTTCAGCTATTGTATTGTCTTTAAATAAACAGTTCTAAAATCTAAAATGACATTGAAAAATAAATGGCAATAAAAAAAATACTCTAAATGGTTCATTCTCAGCAGAAAGAGCGACATTTTTCCTCTGTTCAGTTTTACTGTTTATGTTGATGGCCAACTGTGGCAAGAGTAAGGTTGCATCACTATAGTACACAGCTGTTTTAACGCACCTGCAATCAGACCAAAGATTATTTAACATTGTGCAATACACTTTTAAACCTCTCCACTGCAATATATCAAAACAGTAGTGTATCATGGTGATAGTTAATGTGATGAACTTTTACATGTGGTTCCTCTGCTGTGTGAACTTGAGAAGAACTGACTTCATTAATAATCACCATAACACCAGCTGATTCAAAAGAATGAGCAAAAACAGAGAATGTCTAATTGAAGAGAATTGGCATTGGCTGGTTACCTCCGGGTTCTGGACTGGCTGCAGTAACACGTCTGTGTCCATGCGGGGGCGCTCGTGGTCGAGTGCAGAATGACTGGGAGTCAATGGGGTTTCACTAGGGCTGGGTAATAAATATCGATTTCTCGAAATTAATCGATTCTCATTTTTACGAACCGATATCGATTCTTAAATCTCAAGAATCGATTAGTCATCCTGTTTCATTTGAATGAATGGGACATTGTATCACGGCTGCGCGCATCCAAAAAAATCACAATAATCTTTGTCCTTTGTTACTATTGATATGAAACAAAGTCTCAATTTTCAAATTACGTCCATTTTCTTTAGAAATTCAAAAACATAAATAGTGTTTTGGCGCTGTGGCGTGAGATCGCTCTGGCGGAGCTCATCTCTCTTCCGGGTTAATAATACCAGTCACAGCGCGAAATAAACATGAATGAGCATCTGAAAGTGTGTTAAAGATAGAGTACAACTTATCGAAATCCGGATCATGTCACATTGATTCGCTCAATCAGCGTTTCAACCGAGGAAAGACGTCAGTTAAACAGCTAAACAATGTCATGTATCGTCATATTTACCTCAGAAAACCCAAATAAACTCGTTAGTCAGCTAGAAAAAATAACTCTAGAGAGGAGCATTTTGCTAAATATATACACTATATTACATATGCATTATAATCTTAATGTTCTTCAATAATTAATGCATATTTGAATAAATCTGCCTAGTTTTTATGACAGCCACCATTTTTATATTTCATAAAATCGTCTTATTATAAAAATAAATAAAAGTGTAATTTAAGTGATTCATTCATTATTACCTTCATATTAGGCTAATGAAGCCTAGCAGGCTACAACTACTACCATAGTTTACAGCATTAGTTAAGAGATTTGATTTCCTTGAGAAAAAAATGCCATTTATTGTAACTGATATCCAAAATAATCGATATTGAATCGAATCGTAATCGAAATCGAATCGAATTGCAAGCTTGTGAATCGAAATCGAATCGAATTGTGAAATTTGTCTCAATACCCAGCCCTAGGTTTCACCCCCAGAAATCTACTTTTCTCAGGATGTATTTTTTTTGTCAAGTAATTTCAAAGTTGCATTCAAAAGGGAGGGCTAAGAAAATACACCCATTCACTTATCTGTTCTAAAAATCTGTTCAAAACTGTGATGACGTCACACAATAGCAGAATGCTAGCGTGTTCCGGCCAACAACGGCCTAACCTGTAAGAAATCGAAACGACATAAGTACTCGTTCACTCGACTTTTGGCCTATAATCTATATTGAACTTGCGGAATCAACAATAAAATCGATGTTAATTTAACGACAAGCAGGTGAAAGAGACACATTTAGCCCCATAGACTCCCATTCATTCTGCACTCGCTCGTGATCACCTCCAGTGGAATTCTAATGGAACTGCAACCAGGATGATACACAATAGGGCTAATAGGAAGTGTCAAGGCTCTCCGTTAGATGGGCTCTGGCAAAAATGATGACAAAAAGTAGTGCAGAGAAAAGATCCTGCTGCATTTGATCAAATGCAATGCTGTTTACACATTACAAGTGAGTGTAAATATTAAATTGTGCCGCTGTACTGACAGACAGTCGGCATTTGTCCTCCTTTCCCATGGCTGAACCCTCACCTGTCTGAGGATGATCAGCTCTTCTTGCTAACTGCGTCAGGGGTAGACAGGAAAACGGAGACTGTTTTGATTCTTGCGCAGGTCTGAGAACAAAAAAGGTGAATGATTGCATAGAGGAATTTCAGTCTTCTTCAACCCATTTACTGCTAAAAGTCAACGAAATGAAGCCTTGTTTTCCAGAACAATGCTGACACGAGTTTGAAACTTTTGGCATTGATGGTCCCATGAAGAATCTTTAACATCCATGGAACATTTTCATTGCAAAAATAAAAAATAAAAATAAAAGGCTTCTTTATAGTGAGAAGAGGTCCAGAAAACCGTCCATAGGATATCCATGAGAAAACAACAGGATTCCTTTGCATAAGGCTGATTTAATAAAAAAAAGAACAGAAAATGGCAATACTTACATTTCTCACAGGTTAATTGAGTGATAGCCTACAGTACACAAGATTACAATTATGTAAATTCCCTTTTTGCATTATGGTATATTTTTAATCAACATTGTCATCATTAACATTGTCAAGTTTGCTTTCTCGATTCTCAAAATGCAATATTTCAGTTTCAAACAAGCAGTTCAGACACGACAGCCAGAACAATACACATAGAAAAGAAACTATTTGTGGTCAGTCACCTTAAAGCCCTATTTTATCTTTAGTACGTCAGTGTGTACGAGGTTAGGGTGACGAATGAGCCAGCGTTTTGCTTTTTAAGTACATTCAGTTAACATGAATCTGGACTGAAATATGGACTGACGCAGGTTAAACTGATTGGAGAATCAGAACAATGTTGCAATCCAAGCAGCATGAAGTACAAGCAGAACAAATTTCTCATAGTTATATAAAAAAAAAAACAGATCGCAATCGCACAAAATGGTCCTTAAATGAAATCCTTGGCTTTAGTCCACATCAGTAGTGCAACAAAACACAGCAGGATGACTCCAAAACCACAGTAACAAGCTAAAGTTTGTGTAAATGTTGTGGTTTTTGCTCTGTGACAGACTCTCATCACACAAGCGAACGTTAGTGTGTGTCTAAAGACATTCAGTTTGATGCAGACGGTAAAAAGGTGCACTGTACGCCCTCTAGTGTTCATCTGCGGAATTACACACAGCCCATGTTCCACTATTCAACAACAAAATAACATAATAATAATAATTCACAATCTGGTAAAAATCATACCTGGAAATGTGGAGGGAAAAGGCATTAAAACATTTGTGGTCTCTTTCAAAAACAAGTGCAAAAATGAAGGAATCTGGGGTTACTTTTAGCAGCGAAATTTTAAAAAGTGACTTATTTTGACATAAATAACATAACATGTCTATTAATAGAATGATTTCCTTTTTTTTTTCTTTTTTTTTGGAAGATGAATTGATATATCACAAATACCTGCCTATAAATGCCTAGATAAGGGGAATAAAGTTGTATAAATTCTAGGGCTGTGCAAAAGTTAATTGCGATTAATCGCATCCAAAATAAAAGTCTGTTTTACTTAATATATTTGAGTGTGCTGTATATAATTATTTTGTATATATAAATACCTATGCATGCATGTATATATTTAAGAATTATTTGCGCTTAAATTCTGTATATATATATATATATAAATACATAATCTATATTATATAAATATAAATATTTTATATATGAATAACACATTTTCTTAAACATATACATGCACGTGTGTGTATTTATATATACAAAATAATTATATACAGCACACACAAATATACTATGTAAACACAGACTTTTATTTTGGATGCGATTAATCGCAATTAACTTTTGCACAGCCCTAATAAATTCTATAAATGACCTAAAGCTATTCTATAAAATTTCATATTCACTAACTTTTCCTGTAAATTTTATTTTCTATTGTTATTGCAAACCCAAAGGAGCAGCATTTTTTTTTTTTTTTTTTGCTTAGACTTTTGTTTTGGACATCGCATATTTCAATATATTTTCGCCCATTTTTGCATATTTTAGCAGAAATTGAAGGGGGGGGGGGGGGGACCACAGTGGAAAACGGATGAAGAGAAACAAAAAACAAAATCATTCATAAATAACAAAGTAACCGCACACAATGATGAACAAACAGCACTTCCTTTCAGGCAAGACCCAGAGTGTTTCAGGGTGTGACGAACTCCCCGTTGAAACTCGAAGCGCCCGCGAACGCACAGACAGGTCAGAAATAAACACCGAATATGGTTTCTACTGGCCGAGATCTTCAGTTAGTGGTCCTGCCTCTGTGCTCGAGTCTGGAAGTGTTATGCATGATCATGTCAGAAGTGTGTGAAGAGAGACACCTGAGCAATGTCCATTGTCTGATGGAGAGTCGGTCGGCCCAGGATGAACCTCTTAACTCAGCAGGTGAAGATCGCCTCGAGGAGCGTGTCATTTCCCGCAGGCCTCAGCGGCGCAGAGCTGGAACTGGGCGAAGCCGAGAAACACCTGTTCCAGTGAGATCTGGCTGACGCAGTAGTCCTCGATGCTGTACTTCTCTTTGGCTGTTTCTAGCACCCCGAACACCTGAGACAAATGACACGTGTGTTTACGGTGCGAACTGTGCGCTTTCGTGGAGGTCTTGTCTAGCCAGCGGTCGTTATGCAGGGACATGTCAAAATAAACATGAAACTTCATTCAACTAAAGGTCGATGCTTACTCGTTTTGTTAAAGCTACACTGTGTGATTTTTACCCCCATCTAGCGGTGAAAAGGTATATGACCATCCAGTGAATATTAGTTTCTGTTCCTCTCAATTCCCATTTCGTTTTTAACTCCTACGGTGGCCAATGTAGTCCAAGATTAACATGGATTCCAGTTAGACCTCGTCCATGAGTGTTAACTTAAACGTAAACGCGAAAGGCGAAGCTTGAATTAACGGGTATGTCCCTCTTTGGCTAATGTACATTCAAGATGGAGGGGCGACATGGCGACCGACATTAGAACGCCTTACCCGTATGTATTTTCAATGGCATATTATACACTCACGGGAATACTTTATTACTTGAACAAAGTTAATGAGCACATATTTTTGAAAGAACGAAGAATAAACTAAAAGAGTTACACAGTGTAGCTTTAAGAAAGTGCACAACTGCACAGAGCAAGGCGAGCACTTGAGCTTATAAAACTTAAAACTTTGTTATTTATTTATTTTTTTTAAATGACTGATCGTTTCGCTTGATAAGACCCTTATTCGTCGTGTGGAATCGTTTAAAGCCACTTCAGTTTGCACTGAAACTGTCTTTTGGACCTTGGACCGTTTGGTTCCCATTGAAGTCCATTATATGGAGAAAATCCTGGAATGTTTTCATCAAAAACCTTAATTTCTTTTCGACTGAGGACAGAAAGACATGGACATCTTGGATGACATGGGGGTGAGTAAATTATCAGCAAATGTTTTTTTTTCAAAAGTGAACTAATCCTTTAAATATATTTGTCGTGGTATTTTTCCATGATATTTATATATATATATATAGTTTGTGTTAATTTTTATTTTTGGTACACAAAAATTTCTACATATTTTAAAATCTAATAAAAAGTTAATCACAAAAAAATGCATCATGAAAAAGTAGGCTATAAAACTATATAAAAACATAAAAAGTTTAGAGAGTAATAGTTACCCATATTTTAGTGGAAATTATGTTTCATTTTGTTTAAAATCCCCCCCCCCCAAATTTTAATGAGTAATTAATTAAAGTTTATTTTTATTTATTTTTTTTACATTTAAATTTTAAATGCAGCTGAGATCAAACTAGAAATGGACGGTCAAGTCAAATCAGAGCATTGCATTGTGGGAAACTGCACATTCTGGGTAAGCATTGAGACGTACCTGTGCCCAGGTAAGGGTTTTGTCAGTCAGGTGATAGTGGACCATCCCCTGGTGTTCATCCTTCAGTGAACTTCCTATGAAAGCCATCAGGTGAAAGGTTTCAAAACTGTCCAAGTGTCCAGCGGAAATACAAAGCGTGTCATTTAAATACCTGGAAAGGTGCTTTCAATGAATTCTTTGAAGAGCTGAAGGTCCATCTCCTCTAACTCCGTCTCCACACGGACTTTGGCCAGCAGCGTGTAACCGCTCCCGAACTTGCTCTTCAGGTGCTGTGGGCTGCCCAGACATTTGAACTGGCCGTTCACCATGACAGCCAGCCGAGTGCACAGCGCCTCGCACTCCTCCATACTGCAGAGAGACAGCGAGTCTTTTCATTTCCGGTTCATAAGTGTGTTAGTCAGGCGGTGTGTGCCTTACCTGTGTGATGTTATAATGATGGCTTTGCCTGACTCTCTGGTTCGCGTGATCGCGTCCCAAAGCAGCCGCCTGGCCACGGGGTCCATGCCAGTGGAGGGCTCGTCCAGAAAGATGACGGGTGGCCCACCGATCAGAGCCATGCCCGCACTCAACTTCCTCTTGTTGCCGCCACTGCGCAGGAGAACCAATAGACAACTTACAATACATTTCACAAACAAAGGATTTCACTTCTGACATTCAGTCTTCCTGCTGTATCTTTTTCTCTACGCTTCAATCTCAACTACTCATTCAATTTCCACATCATCTAACCACCAATCTATCATTCATGGTATCTAACCATCTTTTTATTATATCTAGATCATATCCATTCATCACATCTAACTGTCTATTCATCTTATCTAACATCCAAGTACATCTTACCATCCATAAATCATATCTAACCATCCATACATCATATCTAACCATCCATACATCATATCTAACCATCCATCCATCATATCTAACCATTCATTTATCATATCGAACAATACATCCATCCATCCATCATATCTAACCATGCATAAATCATATCTAACCATCCATCCATTCATCATATCTAACCATCCATCCATCATATCTAACTAGTGAATCCGGCATTGAGTGCTGTTAGGTTCACTTCGGGTTTGTGGAATCATTGGCGTTTTAGTTTGTATGTTAACATTTGAACACTTTTTTGTATGTATTGCAGAATACTGACTATGTAGTCATCTTATAGAACTCTGTTCTTTTCTCTTCCTTTTTTTCTCTCTCTCTCTCTTTCTTCTTTTTCTTTTTAATGCACTTTGTAATATTATGGTATATGTATAGGGCTATGGACCATCTTGTGTGTCCTGAATAAAGATTATCTAATCTAATCTAACCATCCATCCATCATATCTAACCATCCATAAATCATATCTAACCATCCATCCATCATATCTAACCATCCATCCATCCATCATATCGAACAATTTATCCATCAATCCATCATATCTAACCATCCATACATCATATCTAACCATCCATCCATCATATCTAACCATCCATTCATCATATCTAACAATCCATCCATAAATCATTTCTAATCATCCATTCATCATATCTAACCATCTAGCCATCCATCCATCATATCTAACCATCCATCCATTCATCATATCTAACAATCCATCCATTCATCATATCTAACAATCTATCCATAAATTATTTCTAACCATACATCCATACATCATATCTAACCATCCACCCATTCATCATATCTAACCATTCATTCATTCATCACATTTAACAATCCATCCATAAATCATTTCTAACCATCCATCCATCCATCCATCATATCTAACCATCCATTCATCATATCTAACCATCCATCCATCCATCCATCCATCCATCATATCTATCCATCCATCCATTCATCACATCTAACCATCCATTCATTCATCATATCTAACAATCCATCCATCATATCTAACCATTCATTTATTCATCACATCTAACAATCCATCCATAAATCATTTCTAACCATCCATCCATCCATCATATCTAACCATCCATTCATCATATCTAACCATCCATTCATCATATCTAACCATCCATCCATTTATCCATCCATCATATCTAACCATCCATCCATCATATCTAACCATCCATTCATCATATCTAACCATCCATCCATTTATCCATCCATCATATCTATCCATCCATTCATTCATCACATCTAACAATCCATCCATAAATCATTTCTAACCATCCATTCATTCATCATATCTAACCATCCATCCATCATATCTAACAATCCATCCATCCATCATATCTAACCATCCATTCATCATATATAACCATCCATCCATCCATCATATCTAACCATCCATCCATTCATCACATCTAACCATCCATCCATTCATCACATCTAACCATCCATTCATTCATCACATCTAACCATGCATTCATTCATCACATCTAAAAAATCATCCATTAATCATTTCTAACCATCCATCCATTCATCATATCTAACCATCCATCCATCATATCTAACAATCCATCCATCCATCATATCTAACCATCCATTCATCATATATAACCATCCATCCATCATATCTAACCATCCATCCATTCATCACATCTAACCATCCATTCATTCATCACATCTAAAAAATCATCCATTCATCATATCTAACAATCTATCCATAAATTATTTCTAACCATACATCCATACATCATATCTAACCATCCATTCATCATATATAACCATCCATCCATCCATCATATCTAACCATCCATTCATTCATCACATCTAAAAAATCATCCATTAATCATATCTAACCATCCATCCATTCATCATATCTAACAATCTATCCATCCATCATAACCATCCATCCATCATATCTAACCATCCATTCATCATATCTAACCATCCATCCATCATATCTAACCATCCATTCATCATATCTAACCATCCATTCATCATATCTAACCATTCATTCATCACATCTAACAATTCATCCATAAATCATATCTAACCACCCATCCTCTTTCTCTCAGGTCTCACACTCATACCTGTAGCTGCGGACGAGTTTGTCAGCGTGAGGTTCGAGCAGCAGCGAGCGCAGGACGTTCTCTACACAGCCGGTGATATACTTCTCTGGGATGCCCCTCAGTCTGGCATACATGCTCAGGGTTTCCCGCCCAGTCATGTGATCCAGCACCGCGTCAAACTGGGGACAGTAGCCGATTCTCTGTTGCACCTGAAGCGAAGTTATATTGTTGAATATAACATTCACATACGCCGACTATTATCAAAAAATGTCTAAATATCAAAATGTAAATCAGTGTTCTCAGGAACTTAATCTTTCATATGAAATGTCAAATACAAGATAACAACACGCAAATCCCAACCTTTTTCACATCTCGGAGGATGCTGTAGCCGTCAATAAAGGCATCCCCTGAAGTTACGCTTTCATCTCCCGTCAGCATTTTGAATGTCGTAGTCTTCCCCGCTCCATTAAATCCCAGCAAACCAAAGCACTCACCCTTCCCAACGGCCAGGGACAGACGGTCCACCGCTAACAGCGTCTGCCCACCTGAGTATACCTAGTGAAACACAACCACAGATCTTAGGCAAAAGAGGGGAAAGGGACAAAAATACTAAACTAAATAAGCAGATGATGCTGTGACTAAATAAACATGGTGTTTCAGGGCAATGTGGAAATGATATTTGCTTTGTGAAAATCACTTAATGTTTAGCATATTGGCCAGCAACTCAAGTATTTCTGTAGTGATGTTGTTGTAAACCAATATTGTGAGGCTTCCTTTGAATACGACAACAGCTAATTTGGGCAAAGACTGGACACATTTGGCAGAAAGCCATAAAAGGACCTTGGGAATTGTTATTCTTAGTTAATCTCAAAATCTCTTGGGAATAATTTGGCCTATTAATGGATTTTCTTGGGAATAATTTGGCCTATTAATGGATTTTCTTGGGGATAATTTGGCCAATTAATGGATTTTCTTGGGAATAATTTGGCCTATTAATGGATTTTCTTGGGAATAATTTGGCCTATTAATGGATTTTCTTGGGGATAATTTGGCCAATGAATGGATTTTCTTGGGAATAATTTGGCCAATGAATGGATTTTCTTGGGAATAATTTGGCCTATTAATTGATTTTCTTGGGAATAATTTGGCCAATTAATGGATTTTCTTGGGAATAATTTGGCCTATTAATGGATTTTCTTGGGAATAATTTGGCCAATTAATGGATTTTCTTGGGAATAATTTGGCCAATTAATGGATTTTCTTGGGAATAATTTGGCCTCATAAAGGATTTTCTTGGAATAATTTGGCCAATGAATGGATTTTCTTGGGAATAATTTGGCCAATGAATGGATTTTCTTGGGAATAATTTGGCCAATTAATGGATTTTCTTGGGAATAATTTGGCCAATTAATGGATTTTCTTGGGAATAATTTGGCCTAATAATGGATTTTCTTGGGAATAATTTAGACTAATAATGGATTTTCTTGGGAATAATTTGGCCAATTAATGGATTTACTTGGGAATAATTTTACCAATTAATGGATTTTCTTGGGAATAATTTGGCCAATTAATGGATTTTCTTGGGAATAATTTGGCCAATTAATGGATTTTCTTGGGAATAATTTGGCCTATTAATGGATTTTCTTGGGAATAATTTGGCCAATTAATGGATTTTCTTGGGAATAAGTTGGTCTATTAATGGATTTTCTTGGGAATAATTTGTCTGATTAATGGATTTTCTGTATGTTTTATACACTATGGCCAAAAGGTGGCACCATCCAATTGGTTTTGTACACTCAGGGTATTGTGGCAATGATGAAGTGGAATTTTCATCTAGATAGATTAAAGCATTGCAAAAATACTTTCTCACTGATAGAATCTGTAGGAGAATTTAATCCATTAACAAAACTTAAAATGGCGGGACCAGTGGAAAGTGGAAACACACAACAATATGTTGACATACTTTAGTTTGGAGCGTAACAGCATACCTTGCTGATCTCCTGTAGAATGAGCGGGCTGCCCACCATGGACTCAACCACTGGCTGGCAATCCAAAACTCTCTTCCTCTCCTCGGCAACATCTCTATCCTCAGGTTGAAGAGCTTCTTCTGCCAACAACAGTGCCTGACAAAAACACACACCCGTGATTGTGACTGATAGCACACAAGACAGTGATATGGCAGCAGATTTTCCCTCCTCTCCCACCTTCTTGCGTCTCCTGCAGAGGTTGAGTAGCGTGCGGATGCACCGGAGCTCGATGATGAAGACCAGGCCGATGAAGACGACACCCTGCAGGGACATGGCCACCAGGAAGCGGCCCACTCCGGGCTGGTCCATGGAAAAGTAGTTCATTTGATACGTGATGTCTACAGACGACAATGAGAATGACAACACAGTCCCCCATTAAGAGCGCCAGCTAATGCAAAGATTCAAAAGGTTTACCAACTTAAATCAAATAAAATCAGGATTTACAATTTTGTAGCTCATTCAAAACAAACACGGCAGATGATTTAATTAGTGTGGACACACAGGCTAACATGTTACAGAAGACAGGCCGAACAGAAAATTCAGTGTCCACAGCTTCACATTTACATCAGCAAGGGGGAAGCACATTTCTAATTTCAAAGATGAGTCAACATCAAATCCAACACAACTAAACAACAGGAAAATAAATAAATAAATATATATATATATATATATATATTTACATATCTAACCATCCATCCATCCATCCATCATATCTGACCACTAATCCGTAATTTCTAACCATCCATCCATCCATCCATCCATCCATCATATCTGACCACTAATCCGTAATTTCTAACCATCCATCCATCCATCCTATCTAACCATCCATCAGTCATTTCTAACCATCCATTCATAATCCATCATATAATCTATCATCCATCATATCTAACCATCCATCTATCCATTATATCCATCCATCCAACCATCCATCCATCCATCCATCATATCTAACCATCCATCAGTCATTTCTAACCATCCATTCATAATCCATCATATAATCTATCATCCATCATATCTAACCATCCATCAATCCATTATATCCATCCATCCATCCATCAATCCATCCATCCATCCATCCATCCATCCATCCATCATATCTAACCATCCATCAGTCATTTCTAACCATCCATTCATAATCCATCATATAATCTATCATCCATCTTATCTAACCATCCATCAATCATATATAACATCAATCCATCATATCTAACCATCAATCCATCATATCTAACCATCCATCCATCCATCATATCTGACCACTAATCCGTAATTTCTAACCATCCATCCATCCATCCATCCATCCATCCATCATATCCATCCATCCATCCATCATATCTAACCATCCATCAGTCATTTCTAACCATCCATTCATAATCCATCATATAATCTATCATCCATTATATCTAACCATCCATCTATCCATTATATCCATCCATCCATCAATCCATCCATCCATCATATCTAACCATCCATCAGTCATTAAACCATCCATTCATAATCCATCATATAATCTATCATCCATCATATCTAACCATCCATCAATCATATATAACATCAATCCATCATATCTAACCATCAATCCATCATATCTAACCATCCATCCATCATATCTGACCACTAATCCGTAATTTCTAACCATCCATCCATCCATCAGTCATTTCTAACCATCCATTCATAATCCATCATATAATCTATCATCCATCATATCTAACCATCCATCTATCCATTATATCCATCCATCCATCCATCCATCAATCCATCCATCCATCCATCCATTTATTATGTAACCATAATCCGTCATATCTAATCTTCCATTCATCATCTCTAACCATCCATCCATAAATTCTACCCATACATTCACTCTTCATATCTAACTAACCATCATTTCTAACATCCATTTATCGTATCTAATTATCCATCCATCATATTAATCCGTTTTAGACATTTCACTGTGGGCGGGGCTACCCAGAGCAACGCCAGAAGCACAACCGCTCACTCACTGTACTGCTTGCAGATTATGCTGGCAATGAAGCTGGAGGAGCAGAAGGTGATTTTCTCATAGTTCTGGTAGAACTCGCTGAAGGACATGCCCAGACAGTAATTCGGGAAGATCAGGAAGACTTTATCCAGGATATAGGAGAGGTCTAGCAGATTCAGATCTAGATAACATGAACATGAGGAGTGTGAATACAAGTTCTTGCAAGAAATGAAAAGCATCATGAGCACACGAGTGTGGACATGCATTTCTCACCAGGGATGGTCATGATGGTGACCGCGAGGAAGGTTGCGGTGCCGCTGATGATGTTGAAGATGGTGAGGCACGTGTAGGCTGTGGCTGGCGTGGAGAACAGGAAGCTGAGCAGGTACATGAGGGGGATCACCGCCCAGCCGTACAGAAGCAGCATCAGTAGAATATCCACCAGGTGGTTTTCAGACACGAACGCTTTTACTGAAAACACTCGGAAAACCACCTGAGAGAAACAAAACAAAACACGCCAAGCATGTAGAGCTTAGTTGAACATAGACATTCAGTCAGAGCAGACGGCAGAGTTGAGAACCTGCTCTAAATCAATCCCACAACAGAACGATGTTCAGTTGCGTTAACGATTCTTGATTTCTGATGTCTGACATCCACAGGCTCGTTTTCAATGCCATCTGTTGGGACTAATGTCATTGTCAAATGTTAAATGTGTCTAAATGTTAAATAGGCCCTCCATGATATTTCTGGTCCGTCTGCTGTACGAACAAAGCTGCTCTGATGACTTTCCCAGGTCCAGAAATAGCACTTTTAAAAGACGTCAGGACCACAGTGAGTCTTTCAAATCACATTTTGTGTTATTTTAAATCATTTTGAGCCAGTGTTGTAGTACTCAAGACTCGGACTCGGTCTCGAGACCATATTTTAATGGTCTTGGTCTTGTCATGGACTCGTGTGCATTTGGACTCGGAATTGACTCGTACTCGAACATTTTTTTTTTAGGACTCGGACTTATTCCCGAGTCCACTCGAGTTCAATTCAAAATATTTTTCATGATTATTAACCCTTATGCTGCATTAGGGACATTTTTGGTCTTTTGCAGTTTAATTTCTTTGACCATTTTGGCTGTTTTAATGCAAATGGTATGAAATTTGGCAAAATTGTGACTTTTTGGATACATGTAAAAAATGTGATCCCATTTTGCAAAATATGTATAACACACACTGTGTAGATCAAATAGTAACACTCAGCACCATAAAGACCAAAAACGGCCCATTGAAACCCATTAAAACGTTTAAATCTGAGGCTGTCAGTAATACATGAAACATGATTTTTGCACAAACATCCTTTCATTTTGAAGCAAAAGCATTATATTTGCATTATATAGTGTATTCCACCAGATGACGTCACTACATATTTATTCCCTATGGGTGGAAATGCACCTTATTTTAGGCAATAGGCAATGTTTAATAGGTGGCCATTTTTGGTCTCTAACGCGCTAAGTGGGATTTTTTGCAAAGTGGGACTGTGATAATCCAAATCTAAAGTTTTCTCTTTGCATTTAGTTTATTGAAAATAATTGAATTTTTGTGTTTTTTCCTCTTATACAAATCGATGGTTTCGCAAACAAAACTGGTAATTAAAGGGTTAAAATCCTGAAATTGAATACATTTTTGGTAGTTATGATGAGGACTGATGCTGGTTAAAAGATTTAACTTGGTAAAAGTGGAAAATAATAATAATATATAATATTTTAGGCAATGTTTAATATGTGGCCATTTTTGGTTCTTAATGCACTCAACGGTGTTAAAAATCTAATGCAGCACAAGGGTTAATGTATGTTAATAAAATATTTCTTTAAATTGATTGACACACCCAGTGATTGGTGATTTTCTAGTGTGCAACTGCGCATGACAAATTGCAATAAAATTACTTTTAACACCACCTACTATGTGGCCTTTTTACCCTAAACTGATCATATTTTTTAAACTCTAAGTAAATTCAGTAAAAAAAAAAGGATTTCTCTAAGTAAATAAAAGTAAATTAGGTAATCAACCCTCAATGGTCTCGGTCTCGACTCAGACTCGACTCTATATGGACTCGGTCTTGACTCGGACTTGACTCTCTCTGGTCTCGGTCTGGACTCGGACTCGAGTGAGGTGGTCTCGACTACAACACTGTTTTGAGCCATCTTGTAACTGTGATGAGGCCCCCAGATTAAGAACCACTGTCCTAGACTGTGTTCATACTGACCAGCATGAGCAGGCAGGGCAACAGGAAGTTGACGAGGTCCCACAGCAGGGCAGAGAACCAGAAGTTGGAGAGGTAGACCCCGCTGACCTGCTGCAAGTGCTTGGACTTCACCGACCGCTCGGAGACGAGGAGCAGGGCGAAGGTGCTGGCTAAAGACGCCATGCCGTACATGAGGTTTATGGCGATGGCGAAGCCTGTCTGACCCCTGTAGATCGATGAAACAACCAATCAGCGAAATGTCCCAAGGTTCTGGGTTTGTTCAAATCACAATATTAAACCGCAAAAAGTCTGCTAAAGTTTAACGACTTCAATTCAAATATACGTTAACCATTTAAAGGGGAAATTTACAAGATGGATTTCCAATATAATCAACAATTATATAAAGAACATTACAAATGTAAACATTTAGAAGAAAAAAAGAAAAAACTTTGTATCTTTCGCCGCCAGGGCGCCGCCATTGTGCAGGTGACGTCACGGGGTTGGTTGGCTCAAGTTTAACAGGCTCTGGGCATTGAAAATCGCGACATCAAACTGTGTTTATACCAGTGTTTTGACCGCGAACGACTAATGTTAGGTACAGTTACAGAACTGTAGTTAGGTACAGTTATTAGACAAAAAGACGACGTCTAATGTTATATGTTGACAAACTGCACATAGAAACATTGTTCGCGATGCCGTCAGATATTCCCGTCTCGTCAATAACATGTAAGTTAGCACGTATTTGTTAAAGGAGAAATGAAACGTCCATATTTTCGCACTGGTAGTGCTAGTAACGTTAGCTACAGCCTACATATACTAGGAAAAAGTGTCTCCGCTCTGACATCCTTCAGGGAAAGCATCGCCGCTTCCACACGTCTAACTCCCGGCACAGCATGGTAAACGTGCGCGCCGGTGATGCAGAATTGACCACGCAACACATGCTCAAGATCAACCTCTTGACAACAGATGGACTCTGACACGGAGGGCATCGCAGGACAACAGCCACACTGACACCTGGTAAGTTAGCGTTGCAAACCCGCTCTTCGCCCCAAACCACCACTGACTGTTCTACACAGAAACGTAACTTATGGTGTTGACGAGACGGGAATATCTGACGGCAGACATCGCGAACAATGTTTCTATGTGCAGTTTGTCAACATATAACATGAGACGTCGTCTTTACCTAACATTAGTCGTTCGCAGTCAAAACACTGGTGTAAACACAGTTTAATGTCGCGATTTTCAATGCCCAGAGCCTGTTAAACTTGAGCCAACCAACCCCGTGACGTCACCTGCACAATGGCGGCGCCCTGGCGGCGAAAGATACGAAGTTTTTTCTTTTTTTCTTCTAAATGTTTACATTTGTAATGTTTCTTATATAATTGTTGATTATATTGGAAATCCATCTTGTAAATCATGTAAACTTGATTCACCGCTTCATTTCCCCTTTAAACGGAATGCGGGAAAAGATAAAGTGGAAACCATGAAAGGGAGTCACGTAGCCTACTCAGACAGCTGGCTCTGCGCCGACTCGGACATGTTGCGGGGCATGGGGTAGTTTCCAGTGCGGATGGAGGCGCTGGGTCCCGCTAGTAGCTTGTAGAGAGCGTTGTCAACCAGCATGAGCGCCGTAGCAGAGGTGTGGTAGCCCTGGTTGTTGAAGTAGCCGATGACCTTAGTGTACTTCCTGGGTCTGTTTCTGAAAGCGGCGCCCACCACACAGTGCTCGTTGAAAGCTCCGCCCTCCTGCATGGCGTTATTTAGCACGTACTCTGAGAAATCTGATCAGATAAACGTTGGGATGTTAGGATATCGTCGAGGGAGCGACCGCGCACCATTAAGAGCAGCGTTACCTGTTATATTAGTGTCAGCCGTGGCACTCTGGGAAGGCAGCTGTGTGGCGTAGAGCTCAGCCAGAGCTGCAGCCAACGGCACGGCGTGGGCATCTAAGGCCACGGGCACGCGGGTAGGGCCGTATTGCTTTAGTGCCAGGCGGAGCTGGGGCGAGTTATGGCTCCTGGGGGCGGTACAGGCCACCACTAGAGCCACCACTGTGAAGATAAGCGGCACCAGGAACTGAGCCACCATCACTTTCCAGTTGCGCCAGCTGTAGAGCGCCCTCTTCAGGAACATAGCGTAGAACTGCTGCATATAGAGTCTGGCCTGAGGATAAAAACATGCAGAAAATAATGTTTACAAATACAATAAATGCAAAAAAAGAGAGACGCACTATTCTGTCTATCTATCCATTTTAATCCTTTTAGAAATGAATTAATACTTTTATTAATTTTCACTAATAGAGCCGTATGCAAGATTGTGGCCAAAACTGGTACTGCAATCACTTTCAAATTGCTGTAGAGCGGTTTAAAATAAAATTGTGATAAATACAATTATTCTTTATCATTTTCCAGCTGTTTTTTGTTAATAGACAACAATAAGCCCGTGAAACAATCAAGAGGTGTATGTATGCATGTATTATTGGTGTGAATAAGTTTTGGCACCCATGCTAAAGTTGCCTAAAAAGGGGAATAAAAAATCATCTTTTGGATATTGATCTTAATGCCTTAATTAGAAAAATGAGGAAAACTCCAACCTTTAAGGACACCAATTTTCTTTGTGAATGAATAATGTATCATAAATAAATAAATGTTTTTCCTTAAAATACAGGGTGCATAAGTCAGGACACCCCTATGTTAAATTCCCATAGAGTCAGGAAGATTTTTATTTTTAAAAGCCAGTTATTTCATGGATCCAGGATAAAGTTCCCTTGGCCTTTGGAATTAAAATATCCCCACATCATCACACACCTTCCACCACACCTAGAGATTGGCATGGGGTACTTTCCATAAGATCATCTTTCAATGCAAATCAAACCAGCTATTAGGCTAACTGAAGTAAAACCATGCCAATCTCTATGTGTGGTGGAAGGTGTGTGATGATGTGGGTCTATTTTAATTCCAAAGGCCAAGGGAACTTTATCAGGATGCATATTATCCTGGATCCATGAAATAACTGGCTTTTAAAAATAAAAATCTGCCTGACTCTATGGGAATTTAACATAGGGGTGCCCTGACTTATGCACCCTGTATTTTAAGGAAAAACTGTTTTTTATTTATGATACATTATTCATTTACAAAGAAAATGTGTGTCCTTAAAGGTTGGAGTTTTCCTCATTTTTCTAATTAAGGCATTAAGATCAACATCCAAAAGATTATTTTTTATTCCTCTTTTTAGGCAACTTTAGCATGGGTGCCAAAACTTATTCACACCACTGTATTATTGTGAGTGGTACAAAATTTGCCGTCAGGTTAGTGCATGGCTCTTTAGTTTACGTCTCTATAATATTCTGGCTTGAGTTTGTCATTCAAAGTTAATCACCTCAAGTAATATCACCTCATTTATAAAAGCACAGTTAGTTTTGGCGAAGCGCTAAAAGCACTGACCCCGGTGTTGAGTTTGATGTTGGAGCAGTCCTCTGAGATCATAGTGCCGCTGTCAGTGAAATCCGTCACGTCAGTCATGCCGCTGATGCTGCTGGAGTCGTCCATGGTCCAGTCATGTGACCTCCGCTCGTGCTGGTACTGCAGAGCAGGGAGCTGGATGGCCTGAATATCCAGACTGGAGTCCACGAGCTTCCCGACCCTGAGAGTTTGAGCGCACGCAAACACACACGCTTACATAAAAAAAAGAGGATCTGCACGAAAGTGGCTGTTACTGGAACACAGCTGGACAGCCTTTCAATGCGCTTACACAAAAAGTGCTTATGTAAAACATAGAAGGGCTCAGAGAAGAGAGAAAGCAATGATGTCACTGTAACCCGTCCCTCTTTGGGACTGTGTTTAAGCTCTCCAAATCCATCGTGAAAAAGGTTTTGTGAATGTGAAGGAGAATTGATTAAAAAATCTTCTCTAAATAACACACCAGAGATTGAGCGTGTTTACTGAGGGCTGTAATTCAGTCCTGCAATAAAACAGTTCCCTGTATGGTTAAGAAAGCTGCAAATCAATCATTTAAAAACAAAAAAAATCAGCTCATATATCCAATGAAGAGAGTGATTTTAGTTGCTAACGTGCTTACAGAGATTAATTCTCTCTTTAAAAGCCTTCCGAACACGTGGCATGATTTCAAAAATCAGGGGACATACTGTTTACAAAATGGTAATACATTTTTTTCCACATCCGTTGTACTGTTTACATCTCTGCAAACATGTTCAAGTAGTTTATTATAAGACTATGTATACTTTTCATGAGTCATCTGAGCTGTGCAAACAAATGAAGATGAGCCCAGTGTTGTTACTGTTCGCTAAAACAAACTATAATTATGTGTTTTTGCTCAGAATATTACAATTTGAAATGTTGCCTTGAAAACGAATTGCAATAAATATCTTAAAAAATTGAAGTACTTTAACAACTAAAACTGAAATTCAAATAAATTAAAGCTATAGAAAAATATGCAAAAAGGGCAAAAAAAGCACATAATAAAATTACAAAAAATGCAACTGAATTTTAAAACAGAAAATATACAATTATAAACAAATTCAAAATGTTAATAAATATATAATACTAAAACAACACTGTCAGGGGAAAATATGTCAAGAGTGGTTGGGGAATCAGTTTCTCACAGAGCTCTAATTCAGTGTGGAAAAACGGACAATAATAGAACGTGAAAAAGATGGGGATCAACATTACTGTGTGTCACAACTTCACTGGAGCTTTTATCAATAGGAAACTTTTCTTGTGGTGAAGTACCTGAGGAAAACCTCCTCCATGGTGGTGACGGACGCCCCGTAGCTGGCGATGCCCAGCTCGTCTCGGTTCATCTCCAGCTCAGCAAACAGCAGCTCAAACCTGCGGAAAAACACCAGACGAGAAAACTCAAAGCTCAACACACAGGACAACCCACAACTGCTGAAACTACTGAGACCGGAGAGAAAGAAATTCAGTGATCAGTTCAACAAAAATGCAAATGTATCATTCTCATGTCACTCAAAACATATATGATGTACCACAAAAAAGATAATGAAGTTATTTTTGAGAGTTCAATTATTGTTTACATTTCTACATACTAATATATATGAAGAGTTTGGTTCCAAAACGCGATAAACGCCATTTTTTTAAAAAATGAGTTACTGCAAAAATCTGACTTTTCAATACCGACCAGATACAAAACAATGTTTAATTTTACGTAAAATGGGATATCCGCCATGTTATTATGTAATGTTTTCTCCCTTTCTTTCCAAACCGCGACAAACGCCAGTCTCCCTTTTCTGCAAAATGCCACATATCCGCTAAACCAATCACAACGCACCATTCCACGCAATGTAAACAGTAACGGCAGCGCTTTAACTAACCCGGCTTCCTAGGTTTTCTCTATTTTGTCCTTTCGATCAACAAACAAACAAAAAAATGAACAATTTTGACAGCATTGGTGAACCTGAGGAGGGTAAGGCATCCTGCATGGGAAACGTGACATCGAAATCGAATCATTTACGTGAGGAAGAAGATGGACTCGAGAGGAGGAAATGCCGGCTGTTGCTTGTTCTCACAGGACAGCATCAAACTTCTGTCACGCTGACACACTGACCCCCAGAGGATCTTTTGGAAAACTTTCAGTTGTTTTATTCAAAGTCAACGAAAACCGAGCAGGACCAAGCCATTTTACAGCTGATCGCCGTCAAAAAAGTTCAGCGGCGACGTCCCAAGGTTGACAACAGCGATATGCATAACGTTAGATCATGCTTAATAAATCATAATTCACGATGATGTGCTCGTCTTAGTTAATGTTTTAATTAAGGTTTTGTTCATCCATGAAGTCATGAATGAAAAACGTTGAACTGTTAAAAAAAAACGTTGATAGTTCCTGATGATATTAATATGAATTAATGCATAATTCATTTATCCATGAATTCATGATAATTCATGACATGAACCCTTAAAGTGTTACCGAATATTGCTATATTAAAGCAATGGATTTATAGTATGCACAAGAAATTCAATGTGTATACAATTTTATTTTGATTAATTGCGTTTTGAAAAAAAAAAAAATTGGATTTATTGCATTTTGGGGGAAAAAACGATGTTTTATAATAAATCTTTGGAAATCAAAACATGGATTTCATTTTTTATTGTTATTATAACCTACAAATGCTATGTGAAACCGAAAATAGTGGTTTTCATCTTCCCATTTTCTTGCTAAAGAAAACACAGTTTTACTCAAATTCATCAAAATGGATTTATAGCGTTTTGGAACCAAACTCTTCATATATATATGCTTTTTGGCGCTTGAAGCTACTGGTCATCATCCAAATTCTGTATTGTATGGTATTATTTTAGTACAATTGAGATATAATAGTTTTTGTTAATATTTTGAATTAAATTTTATTTGTATATTTTCTGTTCTTGTTTATATTTTCTGTTCTTGTTTTAGCTAAAGTGATTTTTTTTGTTTTTTTTTTTTTTTATGTTTAAAATATGTAAATAGTCTTCATCTGAGTTATTTTAGTACTTAAACTAGGGCTGTTAAACGATTAATCGCAATTAATCGCATCCAAAACAAAAGTTTGACTTTATATAATATATGTGGATGTACTGTGTATAATTATATATATATATATATATATATATATATATATATAAATACACACAAATGCTTGTATATTTAAGAAATATTTTCATGTACAGTATATGCTGTATATAGATTTATATTTAATTTATATTACATATAAAAATAAATATTTTATATATAAATAATATTTTTTTTCTTAAATATAGATGCATATGTGTGTATTTATATATATAAAATAATTATACACAGTGCCCCCACATATATTATGCAAACACAAACTTTTATTTTGGACGCGATTAATCGCGATTAATCATTTGACAGCCCTAACTTAAACTTAAAAAAAAAAAACCTAGCTAAACTAGTTTACGATATTAACCTCGGTTTCACGAAAAAACAAACATTTAGGACAGATTCAGGAACATTGAAGATTCAAAAATGATGTAATTTTCCTTTTGGGGTAAGCCAGTGCTTGTATTATGTTTTTCTCTCATTGAGGTGATTTAGAGAGTCGCTATGGAGAAAAAAGACGCGTGTGTGTGTGTCATGAATAGAGAAGACTGTTATTTCAAGACCTTCACTGAAAAACAGATCAATGGGTAAATTTAGTCCAGCTGTTGCCACGGCAGCTCACAAGAATCATATCTGTATACACCAAACTACTTCGTTTTCATAAATTAGTGTCTCTTATAAATATCAGCCGAGTTTGTGCAGACAAGGCCATTGATTAAAGGCAATGATGACGAGGATCTTGATGTTCAATAACACAACCTCTTCAAAATCAGATGCTAGGATAATTTCAGCTCAACTGGAGCAACTGCAGAAGCATACTAACATACTGTGCATGCTTTTTTTTGTAGTATGCTGTTCAAGGTATGCAAATTCTATTAGGATTGACGACCTACTAATTTTGCCAAAATCTGTAGTACACAACCCGACACAATATATCATATCCCACAATGCAATACACTTGACTCATTCAAATAGAAGCTAAACTGGGTCGTCTAAAATAATAAATGAAATGCCACTCGCTGCATTAAACATGCAAAGTAACAAGGTCATGAGATGACAATGAAGCAAACTAGTGTTTGAAATGCATCGCAACCCAGATAGCAAACTGACATTGAATCAACGTGGAAACATGACATCGAAACAACGTGGATCTGACATTGTTTTGCTCATCGAATTAACGTTGAACCAACGTCAGACGCGTCATTCTTCAAAACTAACGGAAAATCAACATCGTTTCAATGTTAATGTTGCGTTGATTTTCCGTTAGTTTTGAATAATGGCGCGTCTGACGTTGGTTCAACGTTAATTCGATGAGCAAAACAATGTCAGATCAACGTTGTTTCGATGTCATGAGAAACGTCGTTTCTACGTTGATTCAATGTCAGTTTGCTGTCTGGGAAGACACATAGGGTTTCACACCCCAGATAGCAAACTGACATTGAATCAACGTGGAAATATGACATCTAAACAACGTTGATCTGACATTGTTTTGCTCATCGAATTAACGTTGAACCAACGTCAGACGCGCCATTCTTCAAAACTAACGGAAAATCAACATCGTTTCAATGTCAATGTTGCGTCGATATTCCGTTAGTTTTGAATAATGGCGCGTCTGACGTTGGTTCAACGTTAATTCGATGAGCAAAACAATGTCAGATCAACGTTGTTTCGATGTCATGAGAAACGTCGTTTCTACGTTGATTCAATGTCAGTTTGCTATCTGGGAAGACACATAGGGTTTCACACCCCAGATAGCAAACTGACATTGAATCAACGTGGAAATATGACATCTAAACAACGTTGATCTGACATTGTTTTGCTCATCAAATTAACGTTGAACCAACGTCAGACGCGTCACTCTTTCAAAACTAACGGAAAATCAACTTGAAATCAACGCGTTGTTTCAACGTTATGAAAGCAAACCAATTTTCGATTTTCATTTAGCTTTGAAGAATGCCGCGTCTGACGTTGGTTCAACCTTAATTCGATGAGCAAGACAATGTCAGATCCACGTTGTTTCGATGTCATGAGAAACGTCGTTTCTACATTGATTCAATGTCAGTTTGCTATCTGGGAAGCCACATGCTATCTAATATGTGCTGTGTCTTACCGGCTGGTGCTCTCTTTGGGCAGTATGTAGGAGAGTTCAGCGCCTGCACTGCTCTCTAGAGTGGCATCAGGCACATACATGTGGACTAGACGGGTGATCTCAGACACGTTACAAAATGCGTCTTTTACGATGACCATGTGGTAGCCAGCACCTGAGAGAAGTACAAGAGGATAGGTTTAGATTTTAGTCGTCTCGACAGCTACACATGAAGACACAATAAGCTCATGGAGCGAACCTGTCAATCATCTAACCACTTAAAGGGATACTCCACTTTTTTGGGAAATAGGCTGATTTTACCATTCCCTCAGAGTTAAACAGTTGGGTTTTACCGTTTTCTAATCCATTCAGCCCATTTTCTGATATTAGAAGAATATCAGTAACCAGCAGTTTCTGATCTCATTGACTTCCATAGTATATATTTTTTCCTACTATGGAAGTCAATGAGACCAGAAACTGTCTGGTTACTGATATTCTTCTAATATCAGAAAATCGACTAAATGGATTTGAAAACGGTAAAACCCAACTGTTTATCTCTGAGGGAATGGTAAAATCAGCCTATTTCCCAAAAAAAGTGGAGTATCCCTTTAAGTGGTTTTGAAATGTTGCCTTGTAAAAGCGAACCAAAACAAAAAGGAAATGCAACATTGTAACAAATTAAGTCGCTGTTTCAGAACAAAGCAAGGTCTGAAAACGCCCTGGGGCTTCTCTAGGTAGAAACACAAAGTCCATACTGGAGCAAGTTGGTTCGTGTGATTGTCATCTTGAAAACGCGACTTTACTATCCACAAGTTTCCTACGCCCCATGAGGCCTTGCGTCAAAAGTGGGCGCGTCTTCCGGTTCGAAGTAAACAAAGCGCGACTTGACATGCTTGACACTCGTTCATTCAACAGTTGACAGTCATTCAAGTTATACCGATCCAAACTAGCTAACGATGTGGGAACACAACCTCAACGAAATTAAAAAGGGTGAAATAACAGTATCGCAGTAGTTGATTGGGAGTATTATAATAACATTATTAATAATCAATACTCATCAAGGCATGTTGACAGACAGTTGTGCGAGCTGACAAACAATTAAAATAAAAAATACACACTTAGTCATTGTGCTTTGGAGTTTATTCAAAATTATAAATGAGTGTGCTACTTGAATACATTACTGGCACATTTGGTGTTCTGTCAACACAGGCTTTGATCCTGAGTTTAGGTGTAACGTTAACATCAGTAACGAACAGCCAATCACATGCTGATAGAGTTTATAGAATATTAAGAATTTAAACAAACGTACACAGGAAGATTCGTCGTCTTTTGGGAGGTGATGGAAACTAACGTTAAAGTCGTTGGCAGGATCAGAGACGGGCTCTGGCAGGATCACTCTGATTTCGTTTTCGGCTTATGTTCAAAATAATCACGTTTAAGCCACTGAATTAGTTTAGTCCGGTTATACGTACAACCGCGAACAGCACATGTTGTCCCTGAGCTCCGTAACGACATCTCTCATAAAGATTTGCGTCTTTAAATAGTAAAATAATTCTCCGAAAACAGCTAGCCTCTTCGCTAACTAACACACAAAATACCATTGGAATGCTACTTCCGCCGCGTCACCGGAAGTTTCACCCACTTTATTTTTTACAGGAGCGCCCCTCGGAAACTTGTGGATACATTTCCTACAGCCACCATATTGAACTTTGCAAATGTACAGAGTGTCAATCATTTTCCTCAAGCAGCCCGTCTCTTCCTACCATCTCTTCTAGCAATCGAGAGCTAAAATGCTCAACGACATTTTAATGCATAAACATCTTGTGACAACCTCTTTTTGTTCTTGCCGCGCTCTCACCGTATTTGTTCTTGAGGAAGAGCGGCGAGCCACAGCACTGGAGCTCCCCGCTAGCCATGATGGCGATGCGATCTCCCAGCAGATCGGCCTCGTCCATGAAGTGTGTGGTGAGCAGGATGGTACGTCCCCGTTTCTCGCCCTGCAGCAGGTCCCTGGTGGCCCGTCGGGCTGATGGGTCCATCCCTGAGGTGGGTTCGTCCAACATCACCACCTACAGTGAAAAAATGGGTTTCGTTAGGATTTGAGTGGCTAATGCTAATAGGAAACCTTTCCTCATCTCACTTATACAATTACCATGCTAAGTAGCTAAGTATAAACAACACAAATGCAACATAACAAAAGTATTTGCTAAATATAAAATGTCTGAACTGCAGTGGTTTAAACAAAGTTGCCGTTGCCTGACCTTTGAGTCTCCGATTAAAGCAATGCCGATGGAAAGCTTCCTCTTCATCCCACCAGAGAGGGTCTTGGATGGCGCATTACGCTTATTCTCCAAATTAAGGATCCGAAGGATGCGGTCGACCTCATCGGGGATCTTTTCGCGAGGGTAACCCTTCAGCTGAAGAGAAGAAACAAGCTATGTAAAGATCCATCTCACGGTCTAAAAATCCCATTCATTTTCTCCATTTGGAAATGGACTTTTAACGATAACTCATAAACTGTTAAAAACAGACCTAATGTGAGCAATTAAGTTAATCGATGGTATATGCTTTTCTCTAAGCCACCAACTATCAGCTCATCTTTTAACTAATCATGTTCTAAGTCGTCATCAAATCAAAATTTACTGTATTTACTTTGTTAGTGGACATCATTAGTCTTGTGGTGAACAAATCCATGTGTAAATTAATCTGGGATCAAGAATGGTGTTTATTCTTTGGTGAAGTCAGTTTGACGGCTTGGGTTGAATATCCTTAACCACTCCTCTCTAAGGACGTGTGTCCACCGAAGCGTTTTTCCACGCGCCTGGCGTATATTTTCAATTGTGTTCAATGGGAGAGCCGCGTTTTTTAAACCCCATGAGCGTAACGAGGCGCTGAGCGTTTTTTTCACTCGCCGAGAGTTGAAAAATGTTCGACTTTGGGTGAAACGCAGCGCTCATCACTGTCGCTTTTTACCCAGCCGTCCAATCACAGTGGAGGAGGGGCGGGGCTAATACCACACTGACCAACTGTCACAACATTCTTTCTGTACAACGGCATCAACCAGCAGAGCTAACCGAACAAAATGGATGAAAAATAAATTTAGTATGAAACAAATTATCTGTGAAATCAAAAAGTAAACTCTGCAGTGGATATTCTGTATCATAGCAACGAAACGTCTCCACTGAAAACAACGCTGCGCTGCAAAAATGCTCTCAAGTGCCCACAGATAGGCGTTTTTAGCTGGCTAAAATCGTTTTGGTGGACACACAGCGTAACCGTCAGTCTGCTACTACGAGCGATGGATGGAGAGGAGGAGTGCTAAAGTAAAACCCCTTCACTTGGAAATGCGTCACAACACGGGAGAAAAGTCGGTTTCAATTTCCAGTTAGGAGTGGAATTCCTGTCAAAAACTACATTACCCATAATTCTGTAAAGAAATCCACCAGTCAGAGACTAGCGACACGCAAAATCACTCTAAAAGAGCCCCGCCCACACTACCATGAAGCACTGCTCTCGTGACGTGAACGAGTCAGTATATTTGTATATTTTTGTTTCTGTGTACATAGTAAACATTAAATTAACAGCTTTATAGATTTTGGTTAGGTTTGTGACAGTTTGAATTTAAGTTAATTAAGAAAAAAAACGTATGAAGGACATTTGAACAGGAAAAATGGATAACAAATGGACGATCGCAGAGTTAGGCATCTTATAGACATCCTCGATTACTCAGTGTCTACCTGTGTGTAGAAGAGCAGGTGTTCTCGGACGGTGAGGTTGTCGAAGAGCACGTCGTGCTGCGGACAAAGACCCAGGCTGCGGCGGATCAGAGCCATATCCTGACATATGTCATAACCGTTAATGTACGCACGGCCGCTGCTGGGTGGGAAAAGGCCTGGGAATGAAGAACGAAAGGGAATTTGAACAATGTAAATAAGCAATCTACTCTGACTGACCTCCGGTAACCCTGTTTACAGCAGGGAGCTGCTAAGAGATTGATAAGAACTGAAGAACTGATAAGTAAATGTGTACCTTGAAATGCAATGTAAAAGTGTCTGCCAAATGCATAAATGTAAATAGATAACGCTTAGCTTCACTAAGCATGAATCAATGTGTGTGATCTGAGGGTTTTAGTTAGCTTTATATGTGGATGTAAAGACTTCTGCAAGTTGTTATGGATTAAGAAAAACTACAAAAAGATACACTTGCTTGTAGCCTATAAGCTATAGAGTAACAAGAGTACTTGCACTTTTAGGGTATCAATATATTTTTTAAAAACGATATGTAGAGAAACATTTTTTTTTTAGCTAGTTACAAGCTTCTCATATTTTTCAAGGTAAAATAAAAGCTAAACTGTGATATAATTAAACATTACATATATTTACTGTTCAGAAAAAGTATGTAGCTATTTTTTTGTTAGTAGCTTGTAATGTATTTTTTTAACAGGACAAAATCATTTAAATTATCATCATTATATGATTCAGGTAAAAAAAGAGCTGTTTTATCTGCACTAAGATTTACACTAAACACTTATTAAACCTAAAATACAACTCCTTAATTCAACTAAATCATAAAAGTTGACATTAGTAAACAACTATCCCACTACAAAATGGATAATGAACAAAGCCTTGCAGGATGTTCAAAGAACACAATATAGATATGATTCAAATGAATCATTTACTGACCCATTCAAATGAACTGACTCACTAAAAAGAATCACATTTCCTAAAGCAATTTGAGAGTGACGCTAAAGTAAATGAAAGCTAAATTTCTGTGTTCTCACCTGTCAGCATTGATAGTGTGGTCGTCTTGCCCGCTCCGTTGTGACCCAGCAGGACAGTGATCTGGCCTTCGAACATGTTGAGCGTTAAATCTCTCACCGCCTCCTTGGTCTTATTGCCCACTTTGAAAACCTGCGACAGAATGATCCACATGTTTACCTTCTCCAACCGTTTCAAGAGGAAATCCATGTCTGTGTCACACTGACCTTGTGCACACCGAACACACACAGAGTCTGCCATCTGTCCCCTGTGAATCTAATAATATTAATGCAAACCACGGAACATCAGATACCTTCGCCAAATGTTTGATCTTGACCCCCGAGACCAGTCCAGCTGGCTCCTCTTCGATAAATTCCCCCTTCGTCGCCTTCTCGGCTTCCTCGTCATCCTCCTTCTCCTTCAGAAAGGCCACACGAGGGCTGCTGCACCAGTACGAGGGCTGAGGGCAGATGAGGAGGTGAAACATTTGACAACCATTTTTTTTTATACCTTAAATTTCATTAAAAATCATGCATACAATTTACAGTTCGCACACACCTCATGCGAGTAAAACGCTCACACTGTTGAGCCCTGATGATGATGGCTAAAAGTTTCACACTAGAAGTTTATTCCAAAGGTGTGGTCATCATAGTAGCAACATTTTGGCTAAACATGGCAAAAAAGGTCTATCATCAATGCTGAAGCACAGCTCACATAGAAAGTCACTTTTAACCCCTTAGCTGTCACCCCCCTTTTGAGAATGGGGGTTAAAATGCACTATTCGAACTTAAATGGTTGAAATTTAAGAATGCTTTGGAATATATATACCCAAGTTTGGTCTTGTTTTAAAGAAAACACTCAGCAGAATATTGCTGAAGTGAAAACACTTCAAAAAATGAAAGTATGAAAAATAAATTTACAGTAAATCAAATATACTGTACTGTAGGATTGAAAAGAATCCAAGACATTTGAAATGATCTTTACTGTGTTCCACCCCTTCTTTTAACCACAAAGACCATTTGGTGGATCAAAGACAGATGAGCTGATAGTGATCAAGGCCTGTAGGCCAAGATTGTGTACTTTGTGGGGTCAATGAATTGTCACACCTTTAGAACACTGGGGGAAGTGTAATTATCTGATTGGTCAGTTTAAATGTCTCACATTTGGGTTTTAGTCACATGGTCAGGGAAAGGATAAAAGAAGACTGTAACTGTTGCTCTGTCTCTTGTAATGCTCTGCTCTTTCTATGCGCTGGCTCTCTCCCTTTCTTGGGGTTCTCTCCCTTTGCATCCTCTGTTCTTTCTCTCTCTCTCTCTCTCTCTCTCTCTCTCTGGTAATATTTTACATGCTGGGTAAGATTATTGGTATAAGTTATCATCATTTCATACATCTATTTTGTAACTATTTTAAGTGTAACCATAACCATATTTTGTCATTAAACCTTTTCAATTACAACTAAGATGCTATCTAGTTTTGATTTGGTATTGACTTTGAAGTGCTACCTATTGCAATACAATACTGTCACTCTCTATAGCAAAGCTCTCCCACATATTAAGCTATTGTAACTGCGCTTATTTCCGTCGTTGGTATAAGTTGCAGTGAGTGGAATAGACAAGAAATGTGCATTTTTCTACCATCTTGCTAATAACGTTTCTTTAGTCATTCGGCAGTCTTGCAGCCTGAACCCCTGCAGGAAATCCACCCTTACAGTACTATATATTTTTTATTTTATATAAAATATATTTAACAAAATATTTTTTACTCTAAAATTTCTATAAAATCAAAGCCATAAATCTTATCAAGTTATGTTCCAAATTTGAAGTTGATATCACAAAAATTGAAGTTCCCATGAGATTTTGTTTAGGCGTAGTACCAAAAATAGCCACCGGGTGCCATTGAATTCCATTGAATTTAGTTGTATACATTCTGCCTTAACAAATTAATACATTTCTGTCCAAATATTAATTCTGTCACAAAATGTGGAACCTTGAGACTCTGACCTTTCTGACAATATCAGTTTTGTCAAGATTAGAAAAGGTTTTGATCATAAATTATGAAATATAATGACGCCCAAAAGGGGAGGAGCCTGATAAAATAAGTACCGTTGCTGGTAACGCAACGTTCAATTATAAAACAGTTTCCACACGATGAATTCTGAGTTTATAAGCTATGAAATGATACCTAATTTATGATAACTACTAAAATATGTGATATAATAAAAAAGGCGATAAAAAATAATATAAAATAATTATGTAATATCATTTTTAGAGGATAATATTATACTATTTTTTTATTGAAAAATACTAGATGGTTTTATTATGAACTTTTAGCATAAAAACAGAAGTTTGAATGATTAAAAGTGGGTGCATCGACTTTTTGTGACAAAGGTCAAAACTCCTGTTATGATGCAGATTTTTTGAGGTGCACTCTTGTCATAAATTCATCAATTACTCTTCCTACATAATTAACACAAAACAGGGGTAGAATATCTATTTAGAAGTCTTAGACCTTTCCAACGATATATAATTTTTTATAATTAGATTAAGATTTAATAGAAATATAGTGAAGTAAAGTTAGGCGTCCAGGTACCGGGACGGTGACAGTTAAGTGGTTAAACATGAAGCGTTCTTTCAGACAATGTGGCCGTGAAATCTGCATGGAAATATATATCTCACACTCATGTGAAATGCTATTATTCCTACTGAAATTACAGGATTCGGTCCATAAAAATCACTAAAATTTTGTAATTGTGGCAGATTTTCTTCACCGATTTGATTGAAAATTGTAGCAAAACATGCTTAAACCAGCCTAAGCTGGTCTTCATTGGTTTAAGATATTCTCCTAGACTTAAGCTGGTTGAAAAGTGTCCTAAACTCCTCTAAACCAGTCAGTCTCCACCTTTTTTGACTCCTAGGACCGCCTATTTAAGAGCCTATTTGCAGTTCGTCATTCGTCATGTCTATAGAATAAACTGTGGGAGTTCAAAGGTGTCAAAGTTCAAATCCCTAGCATGAACAACAGCAATAGAGACACAGCAACTGCATTACACAAAGTCATTAGTGTCTAAACATGCTTGACATCCAGACACCATCCAGACAGTCATAGGTGTGACCCAGAAGGCCATTGTTCCCTATCACTTTCACTCCGGCTGGGTCTATATTACCGGCCCGTTGATAAGCCAGTCTGCAAACACAGGCACTGACGCTGCGGTTGTCCTACATAAACAATAGCTCTGACTCGCTGCTCTTCGTACCCTCCCTCTTCACACCCCACAGTAAATCCTGTACGTCAGGAGATAAGGTTGTTCGCACACTTCCTAGCCGTCTTGATGACATAAGCAAGGTTTTCCTGCCGAGACCAAATGCTTCCTGTCTTTTAAGGGTCTCTGTTCAAGGCACTCCAGTTGAGCACATGCTGGTTCTCAATCACTCAGACTTTAAAGGGGACATATCATGCAAAATCCAGCCCTTAAATGCATTTTGTTGTATATTTGGAGTGTTTATAAGTATAGAAAAGATGAAATTATTCTCTTCAGGTGATTCGTTTATATCTTTATATTCTGTTTTGGTCACATATTTCAACCTGTTCAGATTTTTCTGTTCTCTATGACGTTTTTTGAGCAAGTGCGTCACCGTATTTGCAGCGGAACTGCCAAATAAGGGCAATGACTACCGGTCCAACACTTCGAGCAATCCGCCATTATTATTTCTCGCTCCGATTTTGTAGTCTGAGCTCAATGATGCAGAAGTTACGAGAGGGCAAGTCAAAATGTTCGGTTGTTGGATGCACGTTAGTGACCTGAAGCACGTCAACAACCTCCGCCAGTATAAAGAAGGGTTTGCCGATCGACTTCGTCTGAATGAGAGGTAAATTCCTTCTATCTTTGGAGACGACGAACAGAGCATTTCCATAAGCTGTAAATATCGTTAATAAAAATAAAGTACTTTACTTTCTTAAAACACATGGTGGTCATGGTTTAGCAGTACCTTTGTCTTTCTTTGTTTTTGTTTTGAAGTAACGTTACACATCTGCAGTATTATTGTTCTTGAGTTTCATCAATGGTCATTTAGCTGCTTTTCTAAACGTATCATATTGTCAATACAGATTTTTTGTGGTAAGATTAGACCGTAGTCATTTATCTTGTCAGTGTGCTTGTTTTAACAAGAGAAATAGTCGACTTTTACTAATAACACAAAACAGTTAACTCACATACCAATACATGAAGAGGTTGTGCAGCAGGTTCGTCATCGTCTTTATCAACTAATATGTAAGGCTTGATGGACAAGTCTTCTGTTGTTGACATTTTATTAACGTGTGAATAAAAATGTTCTTTGAAGGTATCGTATATAATCGTATATCTCTAATCAAACTACAATAATGGCCGAACGTGGGGAGTTGAACTGACCGTGAACTCATCAACCTGGAGAGTGGGCGGGGTGTGACGCATCTCCTTTTAATTTAAAGGGGCCGCTTTGAAACGGGTCGCTCACAGACGCACATCAGAAAAGGGGCCTGTGGAGCTATAATAATGAGGAATTCAGACCCAAGCATTGCAGTTATGTTTTATATAGACCACAACGGTATGATTTATATGTAAAAATGAATGATTTAAAAGCATGATATGTACCCTTTAAAAAAAACTTCCAATGGGTCGCAAGGGCGTAAATGTCATCTAAATGTGGTAAACATAACTTTTCTGAGCAATTTTTGAAGGCGACACCAATAATACAGGCAAAATTGTACTTTTTAAGGAAGATATGTACACATACTATTACTATTGTAGCATGGGGACCATGCCGTTATCCCTCTTCTCAAAGTTTCTCTCTGATTCTATGCAAAAAGTTGACTAAATTGACTAAAATATTAAAAATCACATTATGCTGCTAATATCTGGAGTAAAACGGCACTCCTGGTGTGATATTATATTATATTAAATGATTTAAACGACTAAATCACACAGTGAAGGTGTGGAAAATCTAAATGCGGCGCACGCGCACGCTACCGTTAATCTCAAAGTCTACATAATGTAGTGTATGCGTACTCTTTGGGTGTGTGTGAGGGATCGATTTTAACCCTTCGGAGTCGCCGATCACGCCGGCGTGATCAAGTCACATGTCCGGTTTAAGACGTCGAAGCATAAAAACAAAGTCACGTTGAGCGCTGCCGTCCACTTCTGTCGAAAGTGCTGACTTGAAATTCTATTTTACTCTTTGTTTTGTGTTGATAGACCAAGTAAAAACGGAGATATGATCATTTAAACGTTATATACCAAAAATTGGTACGGTAAACATTTGTTTGTGGCAAAATTAAAAAAAGTACTCAAAAAGGGCCAAAATAGCCCAAGACTCCGAAGGGTTAAACAAGCTAGGTAAACGCTATAATCGCTAACATAGCGAGGCGGACTACATCGACAGTGACAAAAGCACATGGTTATCATAAAGACATGTTGTCGTGATTTAATGATGCAGCATCATCTATATTAAAGAGAAAATAAGATG